AGCAGCTCCATGGGAGTAGGATGGGAGATCTCCTCCCATGTGATGTACTGCCTTTGAAAACCCACTGAAGGGTCAATTGTGGATCAGTTTCCAATTGATGGCACACACCAGTAACAACTGTATACATATGCCTGTCTTCGTAAATGTGTCACCGACTTCTCTTAAAACCCAAATGTCAACCTAGGCCTATTCTCTCCCCCAAGAGTTCCTTCCTCACTCAGAATGGAGCCAATTGAGGGGTGGTCCTGATAGTTGATTAAGAGTCTCATTCCTAGCAGTAAGTGAGATTCATAGGTATTATGGAGCTCCATTCTCCTGACTCAGAAGGACTGTGCCTTCAGGACACTCTAAGTACTGGGCTGCAGGCTGCCAGATGGACCCCATGGTTTGTGGCCATTCTGAATGCTGTACTTCTGCCCAGGTTCCTGATTTTTCACTTCCATCATCTGCAGAGTTAGAAGCCAACACAGAATCCAATTCAGTTGGCTGATGCCAACTTCTCCCAGTTTCTGCCAACTTTCTTTTTTTCTGGTACTCTACTTTTATCCATATGTAGTTCTTAGGCTCAAGTATGCCAGAAGTGATGAAGATGGCACAGGGTTCAGATATGTTGCTCATAAATCATCTCAACTTGAAAGTACTTAACAACAGCAACAACAGCTTTTTGGAGGAAGACTCTAATCAATAGGATGGCAGGAAATTCTGCTTTCTAGAATATTATATTCCACCCCTGTCTTGCCATGAATACTGATGCTGGCTCAAGGTGCACCTATATCACCATCACTGCAGCTAAGATTTTGAATCTAGCATTTGTAGCCCAAGTGAGATTTCCTGTCATGTGCCATTCACCTCAGCAAATTCCTCACAGTGAAGGCCAGTCACTTCAGCTAGTACTGTTCTTGACAAATAAGTCTCTGCTAATGACAATTAAACTCAGAGTAGTAGTTCTCACTGATAAAATTTGTCACACTCTGGAGGGAAAAATTGCTGGCAAAGCAAGAGGAAAAACAAATCTCCAGAATTTGAGCATTATCAGAATGAGACTTTGTGTAAAACTATAATTTGGTGTCACTTGTTTTCTTAATAGTTTTGTTGCCTATTATGAAAACATTTGTCAAACTTGCTCCATTTCAGTAGATATTATCTTCCCATTATTTTTTCCTACCTTAAAGTTTGTAGGTAAATTGTAGTCATACAGCAGCTGGCTCTGAGCCTTGACATTTCACTATCTCATGAATAACTGATCATGTCACTTAATTGCAGTTGACAGAACATTTAATATTTTGCCTTCTGATCCTGAATTGCAGATGTTATAACTATCAATTTTGGCTGATGATGCATGCCAGGAGATATCACTGCTGATGCTGTGCACCAGGAGCTGGAGACACTGCTGCTGACGTTGCACACCAAGAGCTAGCTATCCCACACTGGGAACTAGTGATTCTGTGTATGGGAACTAGTGATTCTGTGCCAGGAGCTTGCAACACTGGCCCAGGAGCTATGCTGGTATTTGAATGAGGTACTTTGTGTGAGTGGCTGTCACTGTTGTTTAGCTGGATCATGTGGGACTCCTTAAGCTCAATCAGAAGGGAACGAGACAGCTGGAGCTTGTCCTGAGAGGGAAAACCCAGGCTTCCTGATTTTCCAATCAGGTCTCCACACTCTCCCTTGCATCTCTTCACATCCAGTCCATTAATTGCCTGTAGCCAGGAACACCTTGGGCTGACCTAGCTATGGCAGTTGTCTGACAGAGGAGGGTGCTTTCACAGGCCTTTTTCTCCACCAAACCGAAGCAAATCCTCCCTTGAGTCAGAAGGCAGAAAGAAACCCAGGTAGGGTAGCTACTCCACCTGCTTCTGGAGCAGTGACTTCAGATCAAGAACTTGCTATAGCCTCAGGCATGAAAAATTCTACCACAGCAATACCACATAGGAAGCAGGCTACCTTACCCATATACAAGCCCAAAGCAAGACGTTACCCTCCAAAAAAAAGTGACACAGTATATCAATGGATTTCCTGAAGCCAGAAAGTCTGATGAAACTTTCTGACACAGAATTTAAGAACAATGATTGAATATTTTCAATGTGTGAAAGACATACTTGAAGAGTTATAGGACACTGCAACTAAAAACCATAAGGAGCTTGAAAAGACAATCCAAAACAATGCATATAAAACAAATGAAACATTCGAGGCTCTGGAAATACAAGAAACTACAATCCAAAATAAGACATCCAATGTTTCAGATGCTGTCAACATGATAGAGGGACATATGAACAGAGTTTAAAAGGTAGAACACAGAACCAGTGAAATAGAAAATTGTCATCCTGATCTGCTAAAGCAAAAAAGCAGAATCAAAAAGGAAGGAAAAAAGAAAACCTAAGAATAATGTGGGACACCATCAAGAGACATAACATGGGCAAAATCAGAATCTGAGAACAGGAAGAAGCAAATAAAGGCATTGAAAACGTTTTGGAAAAATACTAGAAGAAATCTTCCCAGGCATAATAAAGAATGAGAAAATATATATTCAAGAAGCTGAAAGAACACCATATAGAATAGACCCCAAAAGAAAAACACCAAGGAAGGCATATCATAGACAAATTTGCTAGAATTAAAGATAAAGAGAGAATTCTGAAAGCAGTGAGAGAGAAACAAAGAGTAACTTATAAGGGAGAGGAGACAAGATTAAGTACCAATTTCTCAGCAGAAACCATGCAAGCAAGAAGACAGTGGAATGACATATATCAAACACTCAAAGAACACAATTGTCAACCAAAAATGCTGTATCCAGCAGAATTGTCCATCAAATACAAAGGAGAGATCAAGATATTCCAAGAATAACAGAACTTAAGGGAGTTAGTAAAAATAAGACCAACATTGCAGGAAACACTAAGAAGGACCAAAGTAACTAGCAACAACACCAAAAAGAACTCAACAAAATGATAGCAATATAACCTTAACCTTGCCTCTCAATAATTACACTGAATGTGAATGGTTTAAATGCACCAAAGAGAAAAAAAGAGTAGCAAATTGGATTAAAACCCCCCAATATCCATCAGTATGCTGTTTACAAGAGACACACCTAAAAAATAAAGACTAAAAATAAAAGGTTTGAGAAAAATAAATCAAGCAAACAGCAATCAGAGAAAAGCAGGAGCAGCGATGTTAATCTCTGATAATATACATTTCAATGCAAAAACCAACAGAACAGACAGGGAAGGTCACAACAAAATGGTTAAATGGTCAATAGAACAAGAGGATATAACAATAATAAATATCTATGCACCAAATGAAAGACCTGAAAAATATATAAAACAAACATTAACAAAACTGAAAAAGGAAATAGGCAACACCACTATTGTAGTTGAAGATTTCAATATACCACTTTCAAGAACAGATAAAACTACCAGAAAGAAACACAACAAAGATGCTGAAGAATTAAATCATATAATAAACCAAATAGATTTCAGATATTTATAGGCTAATGCATCCCCGAAAAGCACAGTATACCTTCTTCTCCAATGTTCATGGAACATTCTCCAGAATAGATCACATTTTGGGTCACTACTGTATAACAATGAAAACTTTTTTTCCCCCAAAGAGTAAAGCAAACCGGGGTGGAGGCAAGGAGGAAAATGTGCAATAATGAATGAATGGAAATCCAAGTTCTCTATAAACTTTCATTAAAGTCTCAATTAAAAAAAAGGGGGAGAGGGGAAGAAGTTTGTAGGTATCCCTTTTTCCAAAAGAGCAAAGGCTTGATTTATACAGGAAAACAATGATACAGAGAAAGACACGCCACAGTAGTTTACTGGAATTTGCAGGGAATGATACGGTTTTGTTGTACATGGTTCATTATGAGTTAGAACCGAGAGGCACCTAACATTAATAGTTAGGCATGTGCTATGTGCATACTTTACTATCAACTGAATACCAAAGTCGGGGGGGGGGGAAGAAATCAAATACTAAGATACTTTAAAAGTCTATACTTGTGATAAAGCTTTGAGTGATTTTACAAGGAATCATAGCTTTACATGTAAATAATTTTTATACTTTTCTAAATTGCAAGTACTTATGTTCTTGCATATCTATTAAAAATCAATCTTAAATTAGCTTACTCTTTTAAGCAGACTACATTTTTCTGGGGGTAAAAAGCTGTGCTGTAATCAATCGCCTAGGCACACAGAATCCACCTGCTGCTTTACTGGAGAAAGATGGGCAATCTCTTCTCATTTAATTAACTGCTTCTGAAAACACACCAGAGGGCCAGCTATGGGTTCTGACTTGACCGTACACAAAAACAATCTCTTAAATAAATAATATTTTTCTTGGGCCAGTGTTAAATTTTACTTTTACTCTGTAATTTTAGTATTCATATTGGCTCTGGATAACTCAGTTAATATACACACTAAAACAACAAAAAAACCTCGTGTTTTGTAGTCTAATTAATAGAGACCGTCCCCCTATCCCATTCCCAACAGAGTTTCTGGGAGGAGACTGCCCATCTTTCTATACAGAGCACCTGGTAGAAGCTGTTTTGCATTGTTTTTCTGGATGCCCATCATGTCTGAAATGGTGGAAGGCATCAAGCAGAGGAAGACCCTCAATCAGGTGACTGCAGCAAAGGGCTTGAGAGTGTCAGAGATTGTGAGGATGGCACAGGATAGCACAGAATTCGGATCTGTTGTTCAGAAGGTTGGTATGAGTTCTACTCTACTCAACTGCATCTAACAACCACCACCCACCACCATTGGTTAATGGCAAAATAAGCTGCAGACCCTTTGTACAAACCAAACTACTCCAGCTAGGCTCATGAGAATTAAAAACCAAGATTCAAAATATGTTTAAAGTTCTATAATTGAACCAAGGACTTGGAAGTATAATTTTCTAGACAAAAATAGCAGGGAGGGGAGAAAGATACCCGCTGCCCTCTAAAGGTTTCACACAACAGATGCTGGGAAAATGATGATGTCATGAGGCCCTTGCAGGAGATGTGGAAGCTAATAAAGGCTGGTCTTCTTCATGATCCGAAGAAATTCTTCCTCATTGACTTCACCATCCCCATCCCGATCGGCCTCATCTATCATCTCCTGCAGCTCCTCGTCGGTGAGATTTTCCCCCAGTTCGCTGGCCACACGCTTCAGATTTTTGAGAGAGATCTTCCCGGTCTCATCATCATCAAAGAGCCTAAAGGCCTTGAGGATTTCCTCTTTGGTGTCTTTCTCAGACATCTTCTGTGTCATCACTGCCAAGAAGTCATTGAAGCTGATCTTCCCGGTGCCTTCCTTGTCCACGTCCGCAATCATCTTCTTCATTTCCTCTTTCCTGGGCTCAAAGCCTAGAGCCCGCATGGCCACCTTCAGCTCCCGCACGTCGATGGTCCCAGTGCCGTCAGCATCAAAGAGATCAAACGCTTCCCGCACTTCTTGCTTTTGATCTTCTGTGAGTTCGGGTTTCGGGCCCATCTTTCTCCTCTGGCTGGCAGAGGGCAGGTTTGACTTCTTCAGGGAGGTCGCCATCTTCCTCAAAGTGTTGCCCCTGCAACTGCCACACCAGGCAGCTCGCGGCCCAGGCGCAGAGCAGCAGGAGGTGGGACGCCTGGGTGCGCAGGCGCAGAGCCTCAGGGAGGGAGGCGATGGTGCCACAGGTGCGCCTGCGCAGAGCTACAGAGGGTGGGACGCCCAGGTGCGCAGGCGCAGAGCATCAGGAAGAGAGGGGGTTGGTATCCTACGTGCGCCAGTGGGGTGGGTCTGTTCCCGGCCCCCCTCCATTCATTCTCAGCCACATATTCTGCTCTGTCCTGTGAGCCACGCTGACTGAACCTGTCATATTTCTGTGACTTAATTTTCACCAGAACCTCCAGTTCCTGGCTTTATTACCCACTTTCTGGGAATTGATACCTGAAGCTGGCAAGAACTGACAACACAGTTGTTGTCCATAATTCATTGATATTTGGTTGTCAATTCATGTTAAAAAGTGGCATTGAGTCAAGTAGGACTCACAGCCACCCTGTGAACAACATATTTTAACTCTGTCCTATCCTGTTGTCGTCTTTATCATCCTAGACAGATTTGAGTCCATTGCTGCAGACACTGAATCAATCCATCTGGCTGAAAGTCTTAATCTCCTTTGCTGAACCTCCACCTTCCCAAGCATGATGTCCCTTTCCAAAGAATAGCCTTTCCTAAAAATAGTTCCAAAATAGCTGAAGCTTCACCACCTTTGCCTCCAAGGAGCACTCTGCTTGTACTTTCTCTAAGTCATATCTTTTTGTTCTTTTGGAAGTTCATGAGATTAGACAGTACTCATCTCCTACACAACTCAAATGCATCGATTCTTCTTCTGTTATCCTTACTCACTGTCAGGCTTTCAAATGCAGGTAATTGGAAAAATTGGCTTGAATCAGGTGCACCTTAGTCTTGAAATTCTTTTATTGCTTTGTTTGGAAGTCCTTCCTCTTTCCTTTCCCACACTTGTACAAATTGTAGAAACCCTTTGGTCTGAGGTTCAGGATGAATTTACAGTCGCCAAAATTGAGGTTGATCGTTTGGTATTAGATGAAGAAGGCGGCTGAGAAAGTATCAAAGATCAAATTATATATTCATCTTCACACAAACAGAAGAACAGATGGGATGGAAGCAGTTATGGATAAAATGTTAGATGTTGTTACTGACATTACTTTCAAGAATAATGAAACGTAATACTTTTATTTGGCATGTACTCAAATACCCAAATTTGTGTCTTCCTTTCAGTGTTTCCATTTTATATAGTTCCAGGTTATTGTCTCTTTGTGACTTTCCTGTTGTTGTGATTCTGGAAGTTGTGCCACTAGTTTATTAAGTACTGAACGTAGGGTTGCCCAGGGTGCATGAATTTCAGTGGCGCTTCTAGACTCACATAAATTGGGAAGGAGGATCTGGAAATTGACTTCTGAAGATAATTGACCAGTGAAAAATCTTGTTAAGTGTTGCAGAACACAACTGTCTGATACAGTTCTGAAAGGGAAGCCTCTCAAAGTTGGAAGGCACTAGAAATACAACTGGGAAAGTACTACCTCCTCAAAAGAGAATCTGCAGAAGTGATATGGATAAAGTAGAACTTTTGCAACTTTCATTTGCTGATGTGGCACAAGACAACTGTTAAAATCCACTAATGTGCAGAACATGGAATATACAAGGCATAAATCTAGGAAAATTGGAAATTATAATTAGAATGTAATGCATCAAAGCTGATATACAGGGTGTTAGTGAAATGAAATGGAACTGGTATTGACCATTTTGGATTAGAAAATTAGATAAGATAGATGATAGATAGATAGATAGATAGATAGATAGATAGATAGATAGATATTCTACAATAGTAGGCATGAGAAATTGGAGAGAAATGGCATCATTAATAATAAAAAAGAGTGTGGCAAGATGTACCCTGGAGCACAACCCTGTCAGTAATGGGATACTATCTACCTGCCTACCAGTATCACTAACTAATGCTAAAGGTGGAAAAAAAATTGAAGATTTGTTGTTTGACCAATTTTTGCTGTCTGAAATTGTTCAAATATGCAATCAAGATATATTGTGAAATACTGGTGATTGATATGTGAAAATCATACATGCAAAACATTGGGAAGTAAGGCCTTGGCTATAAAAAGGGCATTGGAAATGATATGATAGAATTTTGCAAGACCAACAACTTAATCACTCCAAATGGCACTTTATACAACATAAATTGTGATTATACATGTATACTTTGGCAGATGAGCTACACAGAAACCAAACTAACCACATTTGTGGAAAGAAATTATGAGAAACTTAATATCAGAACAAGGCTAGAACCCAACTGTAAAATATATCATCAATTGGTCATGTGAAAGTTAAACTTGAAGCTGAAGAAAATGAAAACAAGTCCATGAGAGTCAAAGTAAGACCTTGACTATGTTATTACTGTTTTTGCTGTGTGTCATTGAGGACTCATAGAGACGAGGGCTCATAGAGACACTATGCATGCAGACCTGAACCTTGCCCTAATGTATGCCAATATGATTTGTAAGCTTTTGAATAACATTTTACTAAATATTTTTTAAGTATGGGGGAGAATATAGTGAATGGAGAAATATTGACATAAAAGAGCTCAGCAGAAGATTTCAAAAGACAGAGAAAATATGCTAAAATATTATAATGAAATTGATGAATACCTGGAATAAGAAAACCAGAAAGAAACAACAAGCTTGGCATTACTGCAGTGGAAAGAAGTGAATTTAAAAAATTCAAGTTTTAATTTGAAATATTAAAAAGTTCTTTGGGTAAGATATTAAAGCATCAAAAGAAGATGGAAAGAATACACAGAATCATTGTACCAAAATGAATTGGTTGACATCCAACCATTTCAGGGAGTTAATGTGTGATCCAAAGTTGATATGCTGAAGGAAGAAGTCCAAGATGCACTGAAGCCATTGACAATGTAAAACAAGGTTCCAGGAATTGATGGAATGCCAATTTTCGAAACAATGGAATTGCGTGAGACATGGAGATATTTCAACAGACAGATGCAACATCGGAAGTACTCACTCATCTATGTCAAGAAACTAGGAAGATAGTTAACATGCTGAACAACTAGAAGAGATCGATATATGTACCCATTCTAAAGATAGATAGATGATCCAACAGAATACAGAAATCATCAAACAATATCCTTAATGTTACAAGTAAGTAAAATTGTGCTGAAGATAATTTTTAAAACAACGGGAGCCATACAAATGACAGAAAAGTTTAGCTTATTCAGAAGAGGATGTGAACTTAGGGTCATTATCCCCTTGAGTTACACTAGTTCTGCCACACTGGTACTGTTTTACAACTTCCCAAGCTCAGTTGATGTATTTGTCATATAAGCCTAGAAATAGAATTTCTTAGTATGGGCTGTGAGCAGTTTTAATGAGCTAATGGACATAAAAGTTCCCGAGGTAGTTCCCTAGTGGGGCCACAGAAGGCTAGGGTAATTATTAGTTGGATGTCAAGTCCTCCCAGGACATTGTGCATTTCCTTTGACACCCACTCCTCTGTTCAAATTCAAGCCAAGCTATGATGTGTTGGAAAAAACTGAAGGAAAGAAGCTGCCTTATATAGAGCTACACGTGGGCTAAGCTGAGCTCAAAGCAAAACAGTTGTCATAGTTTCCAGATGTGTGCAATCAACAGTCACCACAAAGGGCCACCAAAAGCTCCGTTAGTAGGAAACTGTGCCCGTGGTCAGAGTCAGCTCTTGGTGGAGAGTTACTTTATGTTCATAATCTGAAATCCAACTTTACAAGGGAAGGGGAATTTAAACTGATTTGTTCTTAGCATTGGGCTTGAAGCTAACATTTGCTGTCTTGCTTAACCCTTGCAATCATTTCCAATTTTGCAGATGAACATTGAGCCACAAGAATGGCATTGAACATGTCCAAAGGTACACAGCCATTAAGGGTGATGCTAGGATTTACACCTTAACCATCTGAATCTAATGCTGAGGTTTTATCCCTTATACCTGCCTCCTTCCTTTAAAAATTGAGATTATTAGCAAAATGTAGTGTCACTGAGAAGATATGACGTTGAATTTTCTTCCTTCAAACCTACCAATAATTAAGCATCTCACCAACACAATTGGATAGGATTTGTAGGATCATGGGTAATGTTCTATGCTGGGACAAGCTGTTGAGAGAGGACACAATGTACTTGCAATTTCCTTTTGTTGTTCTTCAATTTGACGTCATTCCATCCTTGCTTTCATTGCCACGTACAAGTCCATGGAGAAGAGTCTTGGCGAATTGCCTTAGGTTGGCATTAGCGAACATCTAGGTAACTAACACATGTGAAAATCAACTTTTTTCACTTTAAAAATATCTTTTCAAGTTCTAATTAGACTGACATGAATTAAATGAGATGTCCTGGGAAATTAGTAGCTGTGAATATTATTCCTACCTCATAGATATCCTTGTACCACAATGTCTCAGATAATATGCAAAATCAATTGTTGATTATCTAAGAGAGGGAGACGAGATGGGTGTTTAAGTCTGGTTTTGGAAAGTTAACAGCTGGAAGGGGCCAGGGACAGAGGTGCTGGAATTCCACAACAGGGTCTGAAGTCAGTTGGGAGGCTAGAAAAAGGACCCACACAGCTTGCTTATTCTTATTATTTGGTTTTCCATCTGACTTCCATGGCATGAAAACGGTGAGGCTCAGGAGCCTTTTAAAATTTTAACTTGCGCTCAGCAAATTCCAGGTGCCACCCAAGGCAGAAAGCATGCATAATAAAGTTTCTTTATTGCTGCCTATTTACTTTCCAACAAATGCAGAACTGAAAAAATGCTAATGTTTAACACTTCTCCTACACAAGCAAGACAGCTGTGTGGGGTGTTGGAGGGGGTCCCCAAAATCAACAACAACAGAGCCAAACAATTTATCCTTGACTATGTGGAGCCATTTAAAAGGAGTGGACTCAGCAACAGGCGGTTTACAGTCCCGGTGGTCTCTGAGAGTATGAAGTCA